TTCACTGAGTTACGCAAGCCCCTTCGCCACGACAAGGCAGTGATCCATGAAGGGGGATGAGAATTTACAAGTGGACAATTACAAGTTTTGTATAATGATGTATTTTTGCTCATCTTTCTACATTACTAGGTCTACTACATGTGTTGTATTTTTAAAGAATACATCCTAATCTGTTTTAAACCAGACCCACATGATTGTTACTAGCACATCTGCAATCCTATGTGTAATATAGTAGGGCTATCATATCTGGGCTGCAAAAATCCTGATGTCCACTAGATGACATCAACCGGATAGTGGGAAAAGGAATTCTGTATATGAAGGAGTTTATGAAGGAGAGACTTGATCATAGGCACAGACTGCTTCCACTTGGGTACATCCTCAATGGCACAACCATGTCTTACCTCTGTGAAAGGGCCCTGAAACTATTAACACCTTAATCTCTTAGGCCCAAACCTGATATTTTTCAGGTCCAAACCTGACATTTTCAAGCAATTAGCATGAATTGCCAACTGCATTTCTGGAGTAAGGTGTAGGGGGAGGGAATTTAACCATTTGTCCACACCATAGTCTCAGTCCAAATTTTGCCTCTTGCTACTGATGTTGTTTGTATCAGGAGAGTGCCCAGTACCCCCAATTCCTTTCCACTGCACTCAGGGGAAGATGAAGGGTATATGATTGGATCTTGGCAAGGCTTTTATTAACCTTTTAAAGGATCAGTGGTTGCTAACTGTGTAAATTATGTCCCATCTATTTTGTCAGGAGATGAAGATAATGTTTTGCTTTGATTCTTTTTACAATGTATTCAAGATAGCTTGAAGCAAGATTCCTAACATGGGATATATATTCTTCTTCCATTTTCCACATATGTTCTTTGCATATTTTGATCAACGGGTTTTGTTTCAAAAAGTCCATAGAAATTGATTCCCCATAGGCAACTAAGGGGAAAAAGAAAATAAATGTGTGTATATCCATGGGAATTGAAAACTCTCTTATTTCACTTTCTACTTGCTTAAGAACTACTGTCAATTTTCAACCCTGATTTTATTCATTAAACACAGATTTATTAATGACAAACAAACAGAATGTGACCCTCTCCAGATGATATTGCATCAACATTGGCCAATATACCCAGTAATTATGATGATGGGAGGTGGAGTCCACTAATATCTGAAGGACCACATGTAGCCTATCCTTGGTGAACCTGAACAGCAGGTTTGCTAAGAAGGCCTTACCTTATGCAGCCAGGTTCCTAAACCATGCTAAGCCACACTATGGCTGGTTTGGCATAGCAAGATGTGTGAATCTGGCTTGTTTCTCCCCTTCTTTTCGTCTCTCTCTGCAGGTGTTTGGTCAGACACCTCTTTTCATGGGCAGAACCCGTCAATGGTATCTGTGGCCAGAGCTACCATGCAGCCAGGTAAATGTCACAGTTTTTCAGTGTTGTGAAATTATGCCCTAGAGGATGGACATCACTGATTTATTCCAAGTCCAGGGAATGTGACATATTAAAAGCAGCCTCTATAGAGGCTTGTAGTTCGATCATTACTAATCATGATCATTGCTAGTAATTCTTTTCCATAAGATTAAAGTACAAAAATATATTTAAAAGGCCACCATATATTAAAAATGTCTCACCACAAATCAAGACAGAATGAAGATGCTTGCTCAGAAATACATTAAAGCCCAGAAAGGCAGTAAACTAAAGAAAATAGAGGCAGGAGATAGAAAAGAAAACAAGATTCATTAAATATAGTTCACACTGTCCTGTTCCCATCTTTAGTAAACATTCTAGCAAGGTACACAAGTTCATCTATTTGCTCCAGTTTTTTGTCATTCATGCACAGCTTGTAGTTCTTTTCCATTTTCCCTGCTGAATCCAACTACCTTGGTCTTTAATACATTAATTTTCAGATCCATACTTCTTGCTGTATTATACAGTCTGTACAATGCTTGTTGGAAATCATATGTATCAGTTTGAGATGGGAGAGTCAGTTGGGTGTAGTGGTTAAAGTGTTGGACTAGAAATTGTGGGACTATGAATTCTAATACTCCTCTAGGCATGAAAACTGGTTGGGTGACTTTGGGCCAGTCATTCTCTCTCAGTCCAACCCACCTCACAGGGCTGTTGTTGTAGGGAAAATAGGAGGTGGAAATATTATATAAACTACCTTGAATTGCATTAAGTAAGGGCAATATTTAAATATTATAATAATAGCAATACTACTTCTGAATACAAATGATATTGCATTGTAGGTTGAGAACACAAATGGCACTCACATGAATGTCAGCAAAGCATTCCTTATACAATTATCCATAAGTACATTAATCAGTCAGGGGACATCACCTATTTCTTACTCCCTGCTCAGTGGGCAACCATTCACCAAGCATTCTATTTAGTCTCATGTTTTATTTCCATTCAACAAGCAACCTTCAGTTCCAGATTTGCAATAATTCAAGCCCCAATTCAATAAATTCAATTCAATAAACTCAATTAATAAACTCCATTCATTCATTTTATAATCTACTGCCTTTAAATAAAAAGCATACAATAAAATTTCTTTCTCTAGCTAATGCAAATTAATGTTTTATTTATATTTAGCCCTTTTGTTCATAACTAAACCTACTGCTTTGCTTGCAAATATGTAACTGCCATTTGTCTCTGTTGATTCGGCAGCATACAAGTAGAATAAATAAAATGAATCAGCTCTACTCCATAAAAATCAGACTACCTTCCTTCAGATTTATTACATCCTTCTCCATTCCCTTAGGTCCACAGACACACGACATATTTACTTTTCATTCTTTCATTTGTTAATTCATACTCTTTACCATTTACTCCTCTTATATTCCTCTAGGCGTACTTAGAGTACAGTCAGGTCCAGTAACTTCTGACTTCTAAATAACCAGCATTGGGAAGTCTTCAGAACAGTGGCCAAATTTTGTGCCATTGCCATGGCAGTTAGAAGTTACTGAACCTGCCCATACTCTAGGTATGCTTAATCTCAGGTACAAATATATTTTACCTGGATGCCTGTATTCTATATTCTTCTCTCAACCGCTTGTCTTTTTTTTTTTTGTTCTATGAATGTATATTTTAATAAAAATAATTAATCTGAAACAAAAACATCTGTTCTGAATGCAAATACCTTGGGCTAATTATAAGCCTGTCGTTTTATCACAGTTCTTATTGCCTCTTCGCTTTTTTATTTTCTCCACTTTCCAAACATTTTCTCTTTGCCTGTCCCCTTGGATTTCCATCACCCAGAATGTGGGAGGGGCTACCAAACACTTCTGAAGTCATAATTAATCCTCTTTTCTGACAGAATCACTCACATGTGGTCCCATGTCTTCTAGGAAACATGCCAGAAAGTTCTCCAAAGTCCCTGCATTCCAGAATTCTTTTCTTGCATTGATCACACAGGTTATTTTAAAATGTCTCACTGCTCTTTTGGGGACCATACAGGTATCAAAGTGCAAAGGCTTATTGAATTGGATGGAGAAGCATCGGCTGCCTTACTTCTGCAAAACCAATTTGTTTCTCCACTATGTACTCTGTGAGGAACTCGTCAGTTTTACTCGCTCTCCAGAGGCAGGTGAGAGTTGAGGCTAAATGTGGATAAGTAAAATAGAGAAGGACATGAATTTTTTGGAATTTTTGGGAATTGTCCACCTAATTTGTGGCAGAGATGCAGGATGGACAATTTCTCTGAATTTTTCCAGGGGAAAGAGAAATTCTGCAACAAGATTTCAAGAGCAGAGCTCTCTCAGGCAATAACGCTAGCCCTCCTACTCAAAAATCCCAGTGGGAGACATTCTAATGGAAGCCTGTGAAGCCAAGAGGCTGCAGACTGCTGGAGAAATGGCAATGAAATGAAAGAAAGAGCCCATTACTTCCTGGAGTTCACGTACGAGCTGCTCAATTGCCTCCTTGATAGAAAGAGCACTAAACTCATGTTCAAAACAAGCCGAACTATCAGTTGTGTGGCAGACCTGTTGAGTGTACGTTTAGCACTTTGGGGAGGGGGGATTAAACCCACACTCAATCCCATGGGACATTTCAAGATGGGAAGCTGCCCAAAATAGTAGGAGAACTTCAGTTTATGAAGCACTTTAATGATTAAGGGCTGAATAGGCTTCTTCTGAACATGGATTTAGCACTGTGCTAAACCCACAGTCAAAACAAGCTGATTGTCAACAGCTGTCAAGAAAAGTGGGGGAATCTGCCTCAGTTTATTGGGCAGATTTCCCACCCCATGGATCAGCTCTTCTGTGCACTGAGGGAAGTACCAGGTTGTGACAGCTAGCTACTCCAATGGGCCTAATGATCTGACAAAAAACATCTCTCAGTTATAATGCTTTGATTGGCAGATGGTTACATCAACTGTTGCCATTTAGAAAGAGGGGGGCAACAAAGCCGATGGCTCAACCGGTGACTTCATTTAACATACCCTGTACATCCATAATCAGGACTCTGCCATCCAATGGCAAGCTAGAACAGGGGCAATAGAGGCAGGATAGGGATTGGTAGCAAATGTTATGACCATATAGTTTTCTGCCAACTAAAGGCCATGTAGATATCCCTTTAATAGAGCCATGTCCTTAGTCACTATTAAGAGCAATGCATTGAATGTGATTCTAAAAAGAAGCTTCAGAATGTGCAGGAGTATGAACGTAGCACCTGGCTGCAAGTCTTTATTGCAGCCATAACTTTTTCTGGGGTTCACCTTTGCCCTTGCTGTCATGTGAGTCTAGAAAAAGACATGACTGCTTTCCAGATTTGCAGGCAGGTGCAACACCTACACCTCAGCATGGTCTTAAGCATTTGCAGAACCACAATCTCTACTGCTGTCTCCACCAAAATGAATTCAACCCAATAGAAATGCTTCAAAAAACTTTTCATTGCTAAGTATTGGTCATGCTGGTGTTTTGTTGTTACGTCTTACTTAAGGAGCTACAGATCCTGTTTCGTAAGTAGCAGTTTTTCATTTACCAGATGAGCTTGACCAACCAACAGAGAGAAACCAGTGATTTGTCCAGCAGCAATTGTGGGTTACACTAACTTTAGCCTTATTTTCCCAATTTTGTGAGGGGGCGGATAGGAAGAGAAGGCACATTTTATTAAACAATAAACCCTGCCCATCTGGTTCAAGTTCTCCAACACTTTGCATGCTGACCCCATTCAACTCCAACAGACCCAGTTTTGCATAGTGGTTAAGGTACTATTGTACTACTTGTAAGGTACTAGAAATTGGTACCATGAGTTCTATTCCCATCTTAGGCACAAAACCAGATGGATGACCTTGGATCAGTCACTCTCCCTCTGCCCTAGGAACAAGGTAATAGCAAATCACTTCTGAAAAATCTTGCCGAGAAAACTGCAGGGACTTGTCCAGCAGTCACCAGGAATCAAAACTGACTTGAAGGCAAAAAAATAAAATCCGTAAATCTGAAGTACTAACTGGCTGGTAGGTAGTGGAGTTGAATGCTACAGCTGGATTAATTATATTTACATAGAAATAAGCAGATGATGGGTTTTCAGCAGACAGGCAGGCACAATTACTTAAATACATTGGACCAGATGATATGGGTGCTCATTTCAGGCCTTTTCAGTAGGAAAGAGGCAGAGAAAAGCACAGTTTATGCCCTGCCTTGTTTTTTGCTACTTTGTTCCCTTTGGTACTAAAAGGAATAATTTCTAAGCCATGGGGAAGTCCCCAGTCCGCCCCTGGAAAAACTTTCTCTGGTGATGTTGTCTTTGCTTCTGCTTTGCAGCGGAGATGTTGCGATGGAAGAAGGCTGATCAGTGGCTGCTTGAGAAATGCATTGCCGGCAGCAGAGGCATGTGGCGGTTTCGATCCTTCATGCAAGGAATGGCAGGTAGAAAGGGCAGCACCAAAAATCCCATTCATAGAGATATAGGGCCAAAGAGAGCTAGCAATTCCTCTCCTGGATCAGTGGAGGAAGAGCACTGATTTGATGGAAGCTCAAAGAATGAAGGACAGGAGGAGGCCCCTGGTTGCAATCCTTGACCACTAGAAATTAAAAAGCCTGAATCTGGCAAAATGGTCTTCCCATGACCTACCGAGCTAAGATAAATATACCCTCCCTGATCTGAGCAGTATTTCCTGCCTTCTTTCTCCCTTTTTAGAGGGCTTTAGAAAGCATGTAAAACCTGGTGTTTTATTATATAGCCAGCCAAAGGAATTAGCTGTGACCTCACTAGCCCCCAACCCCTCTGCCTGCATCCTGTGCCTTGGAAACGCAAACGCAAAAAAAGGAAAAGGAAAAAAAGAGGAAAAGTCTGTTATCATCAGTGGTTACTAGAATACATCTTACTACTTGCTACTTATTACAAAGGTTTGGAGAGTGGGATAGATACAAAAGCAGAGAGGAAGCATAACTCCTATTAGGTTACCATATATCTGGGTTGCAAAAATATTGATAGCCGCTGGATGTCAGCAAAGAGTCAGGATTTGCTGTATCTTTTGCTGCCATCTATGGGGTCATCCTAGCCTAGCCACCATGTCCGAAGGAAGACAAAGGCGAAGACAAGCCTCCCTATGAAACTAGGCAGGTTACTCGTCTGACTAAATTAAGGCAGCCTCTTATCTTATAACAGTCTCCTTCGTGGCTTCTGCCTTCAGTGAAGGAGTGGGTAAGAGCATGCTCATCCAGTCCCCTTTTCTGTGGGGGGTCTCAGCCTATCCTTTGGTTATGGCACGAGCATATCCAGATTTGTTAACTAAAGAAAGATGCTTAAAAATCCAGTTCTGATTCATTTATCAGTCTTGCAAATTCCCCCATGCCACAGATGGTAACACTCAACGCCATCATCGTTCTCTTATTAAATAAAACTAAAGAAATGACATCCTTGTGGGGAGGAAAGTCACCATGGATGCATTTGCACAGGCAGCAGCCCGTCAGCTTTCTTCATGTGGCTTTGGCTGTTCATTTGCCTTCTCCTAGAGGGGTAAGAAAGCAGGCTTGGACTGCACCCTCTTGACTCCTGGCAATTGCCTGGACAAGTCCCTGCAGTTTTCCTGGCAACATTTTCAGAAGTGATTTGCCATTGCCTTCTTCCTAGGGCTAAGAGAGAGGGACTGGCTCAAAGTCACCCAGGACCAGAACTCACAGACTTCTGGTTTCTGGCCCACTTCCTTTAACCACTACACCATACCTCGTGAATGGTATATCTCCTTATTTAAGTCCTCAGACTAGAGAGATAGAACTATCATCCATGTCATGTTCTCATACCAGAGGTTCCATGATACCACAACCCCAGAGGCTGGCTTTACTGCAGGAATATTTACTTAAGATCAGTGGGGGATTCAAGAATTGCAACAGGTAAATCTTATTTTTTAAAAAAGCAAAGAAGGAAACATTGAGTGGCAATACTCAGATGCTGAGCTGCTTTGCTAGCTACCAGGCATTGCTACCAGGTATTGTTGGGGACTAGAAATGTGGCAAAATCAAATCATTCTGCCCTAATGTCTACAGGAGAAGAGCTCACCAAGTTCTGGCTTGCTGCAGAAAGGATACTTGGGATTGATGAAACAGATGAATCCCAGCAGGATCTCTATGTGTCACTGATCCAGATCCTGATGGCCACCCACTTGCAGGAGGGGTCTACAGTTGTCACCCTCTGTAACACAACCATTAGTAAGTTACAGATACTGATAGATTTTGGGGTCAAAATAGCCATTTTCTACCTACATGCTATGAGAAAGCTGCAGGAATCAAATAATCAAATTCATTAAACCACCCACCAGTCCAACATTCCCAGGAATCTAAAGGACCACTTCTTGATTCACTGCAAGAAGAGAAACCCTCTTGATTCATTCCTAGCTGCATCTCTCTCAGAGACTGTGTGGGGTATGCCTTCTTCAAAGAAGGTTCTATTAAAAGCCTTCTAGAACAAGACTTGTTCATTGCTTCTCTGCAATGATAAATCCCATGCTTCCAAGAAGCCTTGGATCTGCATCTGCTTTCCTTTTTCTTCCCATGGACAACCTCCTCACCCCTCCCCTCCCCCAACCAACTGCTTCTCAACACTGAGGCTCTATTCAACCATCATGGATCTCTCCTCAATGACTCTTAGGAGGCCTGGCCAGAAAAGCACTCAGTGAATGCATTTGTATAGTACACTTAAACTGATTACTGAATTGCCTCCTTGTCTGACTTCACATAGCATACTGAATCATAAGCCAATGAAACAGACAGGGATTGCAAACACTTTAAGCTACAAAAGAACTGACCAAGGTTAATAATGACGCTACTAGCATGTTATGATAATGCAGCCCTTAGGCCTTTAGCCTAGTTAAATGTTTCATATGAACATACAGCCACTTAGAAACGAAGTAAGGGTACTTGAGTATAATTTTTACACATAGTCATTTAATAAATCTGTGCGTGTGTAGACTTGAAATGTTCCTTAACATTTTAAGTCACAAAAGTATGACTCAGCTATCAGAAGCATAGGTAATACTTGTTTACAGAAGCTATGGGATTCTTTATCTGATCTTCCTCAAACTGGCATCCTGCAAATATGCTGAGACTGAACTCACAAAATTCACAGCCTGCCTAGGAACACCTAGGCCAATGTTTCTCAACCTTGGCAACTTTAAGACGTGTGGACTTCAACTCCCAGAATTCCCCA